GAATAGATAAGGGCCTGCTGATTAGAAATGCTATCAAGGAAAATCTAAGATGTGGCATTAAGGCACACACTGAAAACAGAATACATTTCATGCTTCTCCTAAAAATACTTAAATCTATTTCAAGCCACTACCTCTTGTTGTTTTACTTGGCATGAGCCCTTTTCGCCATAAAGAATTCTTTCTTCCATCAAGGATTTTATGAAGGATACAAGAAACAGCATCTACCAATGAAACAGAGACCCTCCATGTTCTCTCTGGCAAAACAAAGCTTGTCTCAACCTTCATTCAGAAAGAAATGCCAGCCTGATCAGAAACCACCACCAGACCTCACTGTGCAGCCTGTCTGCTCCTCATGGAAGATCTCCAACTGAATCCATACCATTCCTGCATTTACTCCCTGGACTTCCTTGACACAAAATTCCAGTGCTGAACATCTTATCCATAAATTTCTTGCCAATCATTACAAAAATTTCATTCATTTGCTTTCAAAGAATATGGCGGGATTCAGCAATGCAGCAGAGGAATTACTGCCTGTTCCAGGTGCACAGAGAAGGCAGTGCTCAGCTCCCAGGAGAATCCTGCTCTGGTTGCGTGTGCCTCACCACCCAGGTGGAGAGCAAATACTTCTACTCATCTGCCAAGCAGGAGTTACTTGGACTTACTGAGCACACATTCCTGCACATTACCGTCAGGGCCTGGCCAAAGTTAACATCTTCAATATCAAAAACCCACCTATATGACTGAGATGGCTACTGGTGCTTCTACAACCCATTCAGGTCCTGGCCTCTCCCCAGAGATCACCACAGTGCTGGTTAAGCAGTGGTTCTGGTATTTGAAATGGAAAAACTGGGAGCTGCTGAAGAATTTCAGACTGCATTCCTTTAAGTCTGAAACAGGATTCATATCAGATAATACAAATCTCTGACAACTTGTGAACTGAAGAGGGAAGTTCTTCTGCCCCTTTGACTAGTTCCACTGATTTCTATGACAGAAGTTTGAAGAAAAGCACAAACCCAGTTCTAGACTAATCTGTCTTCTGATCCCACACAACATTTACATGTGGCCAGTACATAACTGGCCACTAAGACAGAATCTGTGCCTATTTTCTGTGCTTGTACCATTGCCAGCTCAGCAAAGTTTCACAACAGTTGAAGCTGGGGCCTTTACCAGAACATGTGTTCAGTGTTAGTGATAGAACTCAAGTCTCATGGTTATCCAGGTAGATCATTATACTCTCTTAGCAATTATCAGCAGCACTAATATAATTTTGGCTGCTGCAAACTGTAAGAGTGTCTTGATCTGATTCACAATCAGGGGCATTATATCATAAAGTGCAATATATATGATCCCAGTCTGACAAGCTGATGTGGCAGACTATGTAAATGGAGATGAATCACTTCCTAAGTCTTTGCAGAAGGTTTGTTTGCCCTCAAAGAAACAAGTTTCCATTCTTCTAAAGGTCACTCGGGCAGCAGAACCATCTATTTTCCCTGTCTATAAGGAAGTATCTCCAGGGTAGAAGCCCTTTTCTGAGTTACTGGCCTACACCTGCAGTGATCTGCAAAATGCCTCTCCCAAGAACTCTGATAAAGGAAATCTTCCAAAAGGGAAAGGACTTTGAAAGGGAGCTATAGAAAGGATGAATGTGTGCTGGAAAACAGCAGAAATCTTCCAACCATGTTCCTATTGCACATGCTATTTAGGTGTGACATCAGGATGAGAACTGATGCAGTTATTAAACACAGCTATTTTATAAACCTCAATTATGTAAATTAAATAAAAACTTGAGGTCAGATCACATAACTGGAGGCAGGACTTGGCCAAAGGCCATTATTTTTCATAAGGACTGGCCTCTGGGATAGCAGGTGTGTCATGAAACCCCTAGTTAACATAGACAAAGAAAACAGTACAGACAGATTATTATTTGCCAAAAGTAATCTCACCACTGAGCTCTGATACAGGTTTGAAAACCCATTCAGATCCCCGAAGCCTGACTACAAAACAATTCAGTATGTGTAAAAACACACATCCTCTATATGTAGGACTTACCTGGGATGCTGCTTGGAGTTTGTTTGTTTTCCCGTGCTCTCTCAATTCTAACCTGTTTGTATTTCCAGGAATTAAAGCTAAAGGGCAGAGTGATAAGATTTTTCCAACACCATGTGAAAAAATACAGGAAAACCAGCTTCCCCCAAACTGTCAGATCAGAGTTGCAACTGCATTTTCACTTGTTTCACTAGACCCATAAACCACCACTTGTGCTGAATGGGTGCAGGGTGAGACATCAAGTATTGCCCAAACTGAACAAAAGCATCATTTGTTGGTAACTACATCACAGTTAAATGGATTGAAGTAGGCAAGTTCCTTGAGTTGAGAGATATCAGCTTTCTGGAATGACAACGGCATGAGTCCAATGAGGTAATAATTCAGATGCTACCTTCTGCCTTAAGAGTGTGAGGCGCAGACATTAATATAGAAATGCAGCTCCACAAGCTGTGGGATCATAGGTACCAGAAATTCTGCTCCGTGCAGAGTCTCAGGCAAAGCACAGGGAAGGGAGAGCCCAGAGGGACAGTCTCTAAGATGTGGTTCCAGCATCCACAGCTGGCCTAAATTTTACTCCATGCCAGGAAGCAGCTCCTTTCTCACAGATGGCTGCTGTTAGCAAGCGCTGACACCCACCATGGAGCAAGTGGGCATGCAATATTAATAGCATCAATGAGAAAATTATAAGCCCACATCAAAGCCCTGAAAGTTGTTTTTATGACATTTGGCTTTAAAACTAAGTGCAAAGGGAAAGGTATTACACTCAGCTAAGCATGTTTAGAGGACTTTCTTTTTAAGATGAGAATCTGCAGTTTTCAAATTCACACATGTATGCAAAATGATCCCTTAAGGACAGGGAAAAGCTGCTGTCACCTATAATTCAGCAAATCACAAGTTACATGAAGCAATAAAAATCAATGCTGCTCTGAAAAGTCAAAACATAATAATGGCTGGGAAGTTCTGCTGTGGCCATGTTTTTCTACAACATGGTCATCCCCTTGGAATGTGGGTCCAAAGATTCTGCTGGAATTGAGCAGAAGCAAATAATGCAAATCAAGTAGTACAAACTCATTTGCTAGAATTTTTCTAGTAACAGGCAATGATAAAAGAGCATAATGAATTAATCTAATTTAGAAAGTTCTCCTTCCATTAAAACACTCTGACATTGGACGAAACTACATAGAGCCTATTCTCATCAACAGAGGCAGCACAACTGAAACATGGATGAAGATGCTGTGAGCCAGAAGGCTCTTGGATTTGGGGATATAATAAATTAGGGACAAGTACAAAACATAGAAATACTACCATGAGGATATAGTGGCTGTTACTGATGTCCCCTTTGACTGCAATGGGGACTACTCAGCCATGGCTAAGTCTCCACAGATGGGCACAGCCCAATCTAAGCTCCTCTGCTTGCACTCCAAGCAACTTGAAGCACATGTCTGTTTTGATAGCTACAAAGGCATGTGAGCACAGAACTGCACCCACGCCAGCATGCCCTGCAAGGTGTCCATCATAGTCCTGTCCTGCTGACAGCTACAGGAGTCTGTCACTTCCAGCTTGGAGGACACGTGCTCTATCACTGCCATGCTCCAAACAACTATAAAGTATGGCATGATGGTAACAGTGAAGTCTTCTTGTGATTCTAGATGTGTTTCTTTGATAGCTCTGCCACTTTAACATCCACCCACAGTGAGGGCCTGACATCTTTCTAAGCAGTTTGTTAAGACACTACAACCTGATGACTCAACTTAGTTATGTGTCTTTATCTGCAACAGGCCTCTGAGCTGCACAGTAAAATACAACGGGCTATTTTCTCTTGGAGCAGGTGAAAGATGGAATCAACCACTAACACATCTGCTCTACCTTCTCTGCTCAGTTAACTGGTTTCATTTTGAATCAAATCCTATCTTAGACTTATTATTTGGGCAAAACAGACAGGATAAAAGCCAATCCTATCTTACACATGTGCAGCCTCCCTGACTTCACTGGCACTCAAGCCAGACAGTTTGAAATTACATCACTGGCATCTTGATGCAGCTTAGATGGCATCACCTCAGGTTACAAAGGAACACAGGACTGGGAGAGACCCGCCAGGTCATCAAGTACAGTCCTTGCTGTTCAGGCAGCCACGTCACCTAATACCTTTATAAATGAATCAAAAATAGTTATGAACCATACTTCATCGGGCACACCCCAGGCTGGCCATGAATGATATATTGTGGTGTAAACTGACTCGGGAAAAAGTACACAGACACATCCAAGACAAATTAGAAGCTGCAATAAGCAGAGAGGCAACTTAGTCTACTAGGCAGGCAATAGGACAGGCAGCAAGATGGCTGGATCCTGCTGTTGGTTCCCATGCTGACCCGTTCCACCCTCAGTGGCATTGCTCCATCCCTCGGGTTCCTCTGGGCTGGGACCAGGATAAAGATGTTGTCCTTCCTTTGTAGATTGCTTTTAGCTCTACAGATAAAAAGAGGGATACGAGAACTATTTTCATCCACTCCATCTCCCCAGCAGGTTTTTAAAGCCCATTTTAAAGCCCTTATTTGCAATTCAGTCTCTGGATAATTTGCTACCTGCATCTCCGTAAAGTTTAACCTGCCAGAGCCTGACAAAGGTGTAATTTCATCCTCAGGCTCTTCTGACTTGAGACTCTGGAGCTTCTCTTTGTGGATAAAGTATCAAAGCAATAGCTCTGTGAGACAACAGCTCTTTGCATCTCACAACCCATGCATTATTCTCTCTAAACATAGTTTAACAGGCCAGAATCAAAACTTCTGTTCTCCCCTCATTTCTCCTTCCCTCATGCACACGTTAAGAAAGAACAAACACAGATAAGAGCAGTAGACAGAGCCACAGATAGAGAGAATGGTTTATCCCACAGGCAGAGAATTACTGCATCATGATGTAATGACCTTGTTCAGAAAAAAAAAAAAAAAGTTACTTACATGACAGCATGAGTTGTAGAAATACCAGCGCCCTTCCAGAAGGGGGTAAAACAATGTCCATTTAAAGTTATGCTGAAGAAAACGTAAAACACTTGTCCAGTGAACTGAAGAGAGAAAGAGCAAACTTCAGCCCAACTGGCCTGGATATAATCTCTCTCCAGATACACATAACACATCGAACCAAACCAGCAGGATTGTTGCTCAGCTAAGTATGCATGGAAAGGAGATGCCATTCTGCTTTCTATGTCTTTGCATCTTCAAACATCCAAGAGTCCCCTCCGCCCCCTACAAAGGCGCAGGGCAAAAATAGCCACTTTTGTGTTTCATTTCAGGTGCAAAGTGCTATGAAGCCAACCATTTTATTTGCCGCCTGTGAAGACTTTACATTTATGCCTTCTTTGAATGTTTTCTTCACCCACAGAACAACTGGAGGGAGGAAGGTCACACGCTGCCTGTATATGAAGCAACCCCATGAAAGAGTAACTCGAGGCCAGGCTTGTTTTCTCTGTTTAGACAGCATTTAGTGAAGTCTTGGCCATGACTAAAACTCCAAGGCTGAGTTAATCACTTTTATGACTACATGTTCCTCAAAGGGACTTGTTTCTAATGAACTTTCAAATGCTATGAAAATAACAGGTATGGTGTTTACCATGTAAAAGATTGTAAAAGAACACTGATGTTACTGCCCCAGTTCAGCACACTTATTCCATTGCTCGAACATTCATCCTTCGCTGTTGTTACTCTTGCTAACATGAAGCGTATGTTATTAAAGCCAGTATTTACCAACAGATACTACAGCTGTGAACGTAATATAGCCCTTCCATGTAAAACTAGGCTTCCAGCGGGAAATAAAAGGCATTTGGCAAGTCTTAGCCTGCCAAGGGCAACTGCTCCACGTCCTGTTTCCAGGACAAGAAAACCCTCCAGTTACTCCAGATACATCCAGTGGTGAATGCTGAGCTTGTCTGGTAAGTTTTCCAAGCCCAGTGGAAATCCTACAGCAGACACAGAAAGCTCTCAGTCTGAATTGGCACCAGATGCTTTAGAGAACAAGTGAATTTCATTTTGTTACAGGAATATGAGAAGGCCAAAATGCTTTATTTGTCAGCACGGGAACAGTCACTCATCTAAGAATATGAATATTCTGTTGAAGTTGTTATAAAATGAGACTCTTCCAAGGAAACTCTGCACTGAGCAACAGTGCCATGTGCCAGCTTACAGTGCCCTCTACACTTGTACGCAACAAGAAATGTATTTTCTGTAGCAGATCAACAGCAACAGCAGCCTTCAGACTATAGAATATAATTTGCAGCAAATTCCAGCCTCTCAAGAAGTCTACAATATCTCCCTGCTAGCTCAAAGACTCTATACAAAGGCCAACTCAACATCATGCATTTACTGCAGTGTTTCTTCTCAATCAACCAAGAAAAAGGCTATTAGCCATACATCAAAACTGCATTGCAGCTAGGGCTGCCAATTACTTATGGCAAAAAGGGAGGCTGATTCATTTGACTGTATGTGGGCCTTGGCTGGAGTTTTCCCAAAATGCTACAAGAAAAGAAGAAAACCTCAGTGAACCTCCCCCTCATTCCCACTCCTTCCTCCCCCGCAAATCACAGTCAAGAGGCCCGTGCTTGCAAAAACAACATTTCCTGGAGGATTCTTTCTCCAAATCACTCCTTTGCTAAATTCAGACAAAACACACAGCAACTCAAAATACGTTTGCATATGATATATACGCATACAAGGACACCCCTCCCAAACACGTACAAGTGAAACGCAATGCAAAGTGTCTAAAAAGCCTTTAAATCCCCAGTCCCCAGAGAGTCCCTACATCTTCCACTATAAATCCCGCTGCATTACACGGCCACCTGTGTAATGGCTACCTTACAACACACGGCTCAGCAACCAGCCTGCAATGGTGGCTGAGCAGGGGGTAGGGGGGGCCTTGTCTTTTTGCTGAGAACAGTCACAAACCAGAACATTTCTGCTATGCACAAGCACATCCTGAATCCAGATCCTTTCACAAGCTCCCTGCATTAGATACATTTAACACCTAATATGTTACAAGTAACAATTCTTCATCCAAGTTGTCCCTCCTGCCTTTATGTTTTGAAGGAGCTTGCAGCCTCCTCGTGCCTGGGCTGTTCTCCTGGACACATGAAGCAGTGTTCAACCACACATTGTCCTCCTTAGTCACCATGGACCCAAATTCTGTAATTTCCTCACGTACTGGCCTAGGTTTGCAAGGTACCCTGGCCACACCAACACCACTGTTTCCCACAGTGAGTTCACAGCACAAAAATTCAATCATGTTTGCTTCTAACTGGTATCTTCCATTGCTCTGCTAGCACCCTACTGATGACCTTGGACATTTGACTTCACCTTTGTGTTTCCAACGTATCTGACACGAGTCAACCTGGCACCCAGTCCCCTGGAGCAGTCAGACCCTTCCTTAACACATCTCCGCTTTTTCTGCAGGCCTGACTTTTAGCCATTTATTGTAAACCTTTAAAACAGTTTTCATAGAAAATATGCTTTGAGATCCTCAAGAGCGCAGAAAAATGTTTGAAGCACGCACCTACTGCTCACTGCCCTCTGGGCACCAATGTTTAAATTTCAATTGAGCAAGCATACTGGGACAGAGCTTGGGCCAGTCTGAGCCACCCTGTCTGTGGCAAGGTGAACCAGTGGTCAGACGTGGCCAGCTCCATGGATCAAAATGTCATGTGTCATGAACACTGCAGGGCAGACCAGTGCAAAGCATCTTCTGCCTAATGACCCCACCAACAAAAGCAATCAACCTCATGAGAACTCATGCTTTGGAGGCTGTTTGGAATACATAAGAGCACAACTTTTTCCTCTCCTTGCCCAAAAGTAAGTCCTACTAAGGGTTGACTTTGAGATTATGTTTACCAAACTGCTTCCTGGAATACATAAACAGCTATAACTCTCAATGTATCATTTCTGTTCTGGAACACAATCAATTATAGTCAGGATAACCACTCCAGTAGATGTATTCCTCAAACAAGAGAATCACACACATACAGCTGTACCCATGAGGTCAAGCTCTGCCATTCTGCTGGGGTCAGCAATGCAAACACCATGAAATGCAGCTCAAAAAAACCCCCAAAGGTCAAGAATCAGGTAACTGACCTCTTGCACCATCTGTGGGCCTGGAAACTTCATCCACATGCTGTTGCTCACTAAGTAAGAGGAGAGATCTCTTAACACATCAAGGACTTAAAACTGGAAAAGTACTTCATACCCAGATTCCTACTGCTTTTCCTTATTACATGAAGAAGCGTGGCATTCACCCTGAGTGTCCAGAGTGCTCTACAGACCATAGAAGACAGGGCATGCCCTGAAAATCAAGTTGCTCAAAAGCTCTCACTGTCTGCATTATGGATCATAGCTGCAGGAAGTTCCCCCTAATTGGATGCTTTGGGGACATTTTACTTCAGAAACACACAACAGTACCAGCAGTTCCAGCATTTCAATATCATTACAGCTTTCAAAAAGAAGAGTCCAAGACACAGCCTCTGTGCATGAACTGTCAATATACTGCAGAAAAGAATAAGGCTCTACTCTCAGCTTATTTCTTCTGAAGTGCTTAATATTATTCATTAATGCCACTAGAGAGGAGGATTCTGCATCCCCCTAGTGCAAGAAGTGGAGAGAGAACAAGAGTATTGAAAGAAGATATGGTGCAGGATGTGGGGCAGAAATGAAAGGAGAAAGCTGTCCCCACAGATTACCACTCTAGATACTTCCAAATATTACCCAACCTCTTTCTGGTCCATGCATCCTGTGAAGTGCAAAGTGCCTCCTCAAAAAGAAACAAAGAAGGGAGTAAATTCTGGCCGCTTTAGTCTTTTTTTCTTGCTAGAAACCTCACCTCTTCCCAACTTGAGTTCACAGAGCCTCTGGAATGAAGAGAGGAGAGTCATAGCACTGCACAGCTACCAGAGACCATATCTGTAGGAAACAAATAACCAGGATGCCAACCTGAGCTGGCTAGGCTCACTAAAAAGATCAAACGAGGATGTAAGCAGCTCTTTTCTGGAGCAGGCAGGCATCGTTTCAGTTGTTGAAATATTCATACCCTGATAGGAGCTGTTGCATCAATGTCTGTCCCTGATACAAACAAACCTGAGCTCAAAGCATGACAATCTGTGTTGTACAGGGTGGAATCACAATTAAATGCATTTTCCAAGCCTCCATTTCTGCATGCACACATTTGACAGCTTTTCTGGTGACACTTCAAGAACATCCCAAATTCAAGTCCACAATCTTCTGCCTGTGAGGGCAGGAGACATTAAAAACAGTTTTAGCAAATGCCTGCGATTTTAATTGTGTGGCTTCAATTTTTCCCACTCAGGTTCACCATACACCAGCAGCCCATGTTTCATCTGGGGAGTGACTGGGTGCATCTGATAAATATGAGTTGGCAGGTTGAATCAAAACTCTCTGCAGGGAAGTGCCTGGAAAATTTCTGATCTAGAGGACTTTCTCCTTCACAATAGGGAATAGGGAAGGAGGAGACAGGAAATGGAAAACATTAGGCCTTTCACTCCTTGAGAGACACATAGAAGTACTTTCCAGTGCCCTTCCCAAATAAAGCAAAGAACAATTTATTGACGCCAGCAAAGGGACAGGGACTGTGAGGGCCACACTGCCGCTGCCCTTTCAACAGTAGTCTGGAGAAATGAGCACGCTCAGGTGACATGACAAGAAAATGTTTTTGTACTCCCCTAGTCACATACAGCCAACTGTGCATACACCCTGCAAATCAATAGTGAGCCTGCTAAGGTGCCAGAGCATTTTCAGCACTTGGGGATTAGAAAGAAAATGAGAACGGTCTGGCTCTGGAGTCTGAACTGTACTGCAATGTTGAAATGGAAGTTTGTTTCAGGCTTCTAGAGGATCTAAGGCTGGACAAAAATGACATTGCAGTACATTGTCTTGGAGGAAAGCCAAGCACATGCATGTGCAGCAAGCTGGATCAAAGCACAGCTATCACTGGTACATGTGCAAGGTATCACTTTCAGAAGTCAAGGGGTCATATCAGAATCTTTGTTTCCATTTCTCTGAGAAAGAGCTC